TATTAATTTCAATTTTCCAATATCATGTTTATTGAATTTCAGCATTAAAACAAGGTTAGTTAGATCACAAAATAAAGATTAGCTATTAGGGATCTCACATTTAATTCACTAATTACTAGTGGCATACTTGTGATGTGGCTACTCAGTGATTATCCACTGATTCAGATTTAGAGAGTTTGTTTTAGAGAGTCAGATTAATTAAGTGAGATATCGATGAAAGCGTATAAAGGAAATGTTAGAATGATGAGAACTAATTATAATAATACAATACATTAAAAAGGAGGAATAATAAAAAAAAATTGTGTGAATAATACGTTCTTTTGTGAATTACATCTTCATAATTTCCGCTACATTGTGCAATATGTACGATACATTTTTTTCGAGAGATGTACGTATTCTTTAAGACAGTGAGGCGTTGCCGCACTTGTGGATTGCTGACCAAGACCTTTACGCTTTTTCTTACGGTATTTATTCACGCACGGATCGGATTCTGTGGTTAGAGCAAAACCGAAACATCGCTTTGAAAACGATATTCCTTCGTGTATGGCAGGGAGCAATTGCGCTAAAAAAGAAAGTAACTCGGTCGATTTCGCACATCCGGTCTCTACGATCTTCTCGTGAGTGAAGTGATCGTTTTTATGTTAATTAACGGCACACCCAAGATCCGTAAGTCTTTTTGAGGGCGATACTAATTGTATATCATTCTTGAATGAGATAACGGAACCCAGTTTGTTCGAATGCGCTTCCGTAAACAATATTGTTATAAAAATATACAAATATAATTTTCATAAACAATTTATTTAATTTTCCGACATTCCGTCAAAGAGTTGTGATTTATGACGAGATGAAGTATTTTTGAACAATCGTTTAAGTCCTTCAAAACCATTGAGAAGAGTCATTAATTTCTATTGACACTCGAATGTGTTATTAATGATAGAAGCATTGTAGCGTTACTCTTAATAGAAATTATACATTCGACAACGGATCTACTTCGTCAATTGGTAGAGAATGATTTATCACCCAATTCGTTGAATATCCAAATCATTCCGATTATGCATATGACTTGATTGCGAATGAGAATGAACATATATTATTTCAGGACAGATTTAAGAAAAGATCCTATAATTTCTTGCAGTCACATCAAGGTCTTCGGATTGCACACATTGCTTCAGAATTGAAGGTTTTTAAAATTATAAACGCTTGACTTTTCTAAAATTTTTGGCATGTCATTGTAATTATTTTAATGTAGACTGTATATGTAACATTGATGAAATGACTGGACAGAAGATCGAAACGTCTGTATTTGTATTTTTAGTTAAATATAATTTTTACATTAATAACGAGTACATTAATAACGATAGCAAAGAATATCTTGCTTGTGCTCTGAGCCCTTTAACTGATTATTCTAATTTAATTATTTCTTTGATTATATATAGCGTGCGTGGCTGTCGGCTTTTCGACTCGCATAATATTATACTTTCGAGACATTATTTAATTGAAGGTGCCATCCTGATTTGACGAGGCGGCACTGAGGAAGAAATTAAATGTCGGTGAACCATTTTAATGCGATTTATTTCCAAATAAAATGTAATCGTCGTGTTTTAAAATGACAATATTTTAAAATTTCCATTTTAATGAAATTTATTTAAAAATATGCGAACTATTATATGAGTATTTTATTTTATGAACTTATTTTACTCGAGCGTAATTGAGGGAGTTCATATTTATATCACTAATTTATACTGCTGCAATTATTTGCTTTTTAAAAGAGAGATATTTCTCTGTGTTTCACTCATTATATAACCCAAAGCTGAGCACGTGTGCCTGCATATTCATATGGTGATCATTTCTTTGTTGTGTAAAACAAATCGCAGAGGTCCTCGCACTCTGTCTTTTACCTGCCCAGAACAGAAATAAGAGTAATTTCACACCCTTTGTTCTCTTCTTTCGGTACATTTCTCCTTTGTTTCACATGTTGCTCGCCTGCAGGTTGATTCTAATATATATGCAGATTGTAGTAATACAAGATCTATCTCGATTTTATATACATCGCATTTTTTTTCTGTCAAGCATATCTTTAAATTAGACTGCACTAGTTCTGTAGAATGTACTTTCAATATATTGTAACTCCTATTTTTAATAAAAGTTAGGATATTATAACGTACTCACTAAATTCTTCTCGGAATGGAATCTCACTCTTTAGATTCCAATCTAAAGAATTTAGAGAGAAAATGTGCACAATTTCACGTTGATTTATTTATTGTACAAATTTTTTTCTTTTGCAATATTAATGTTCTATACGGATAGCTTTAACCAAAATGAATCCACGAGGAACTAGATATAGCTTTAATGAAGTATTCACGATAAATTAAATTGCTTCGTAATAAAAAGTTATCATTCACGATAATATTTCAAATAATAGCAAAGTTTAAAATTATTCATAGTCCGTTCTTATTTTAAAATGTAATATAAATGTCTTGTAATATAAATGTCTCTTAAAATGCTATAAATATATGACTCTATGATTGAGTTATCATATTAACAATCTTAAATAACAATTAATCCGTACTTAAGACAGTGTTAAATATAACTAACTATAAACCGACCTAAAATATGACTACTGATTTTATAAAGATAAAAGAGATAGATATTTGATATTTATTTGTTCGTATTGATTTCTACCCTTAGTTTGGTATACAAATCAAGAGTTGATCCTGCTAGAAGGTTAACACGCTAAAGATAGCATTATCCTGATTTCTCTGGTGCGGTTAGGAAGTAAGTTCTTGTCGGTCGTATTGTCACATTGGATCGCGACTTCGGTTTGGTTGTACAAGGGAGGAACGCACCGAACGGCGATTGCACGGTGCAAACACCGTTCTGACCGTTCAGCCTCACGCAGGAGATACGATCTCGCGCTTATAGGAACAGCAACGTCCTCGGCTTCGGTCGGGCTCCCTCCAGGCGTAAGCCGGCTACGCCATTAAGCTGGAATTCAGGTGTATTAACGATGCTGGACCGCGCGGCAGGTACGTAGCGACCACCCGTGGCCACCCGGTAGCACACTAATGGCAAAGCTACGGCGGAACCGTTCGTTAGAGAGAGATTTTATTTCGCCTATCTTACGCGCTCGCGCGCTCTGAGCAACACGACGTTTACTGTCGGCGCAACATGGGACCCGGTGGGAAAGGGTTACGAGGCGCAATTGTGTACGATTGCGTCGCGTTCGTATTCACGGGACGTTACCCTGATTGCCGTTGCCTCGATGAGATCGACTGAAAGGCTTTCACGGTACCGTGATATTTTATAAAGTGCTCTTAGATTATTGCCATTCCATTAATTACTGTATTAATGTGTTAACCGCGTGCCCTAATCGCAGTATACATTTAAAATCTGACAGGAATTTAAAATCTGACAGGAATTTTAATTTAATTGCAGCAATATCTAGCCGATAATGAAATAAAAGATGATAATATTTTAAGAAGTATCACGCAATTTTTTTTTTTTTGATGATATACTCAATTATTATATTAATTTTTTTTAACTGAAGTAAGTTTAATAATAAAAACAACAATAGAAGTTTCCAATATGGTTAAATTTAAAATAATATGATTAAAAAGGTATATACTATGAGTGCAATTTAGTGGCTAAATTTTATATTTTAATAGATTACAATAAATTAAGAACAATACAATAAAATAGACGATTCGGCTTTATATCAGGCCATCTTCAATACATTACAAAATTAATATGTGTTGTAACTTTAATATACGCTAAGAACAACTGGCTTCGAAATAAATTTTATTAACTTTATAATAATGAGATTAAATATGCAATTCTTGATTACAATTTTATTTTCGAAAAGCTAGATCATGTTAAATATTCCAGATGTCAATTGTCGTTTTACTCACCATGGTTAGTCAAATTTATTGAAACACATAATTTCCAGATTTCTATTAAATGTGAAATTCATTAATAAAATTAATAGCTCTTAAGTCAAAAAATAAATTTCACAATTAATTTATTGTAATCTATTAAAATATAAAATTTAATCACTAACATCTTGCGCTCGTGATGTATACCTTTTTAATCATGTTTAATCATTGTTTTAATAATAAAATTCTATATTTCTAAAATTAAAAACAAAGTAACTTCTATAAAGGAGATAATTGATAGTCCGTGGGGTATACGGTGGACAAAAATTTTAATATATAATTTTATTTATTTGTATATCTCTTACGGAACAAATTGCGCTGAAGCGAAAACGCAGCGATGCGACTAATCCCGCGGGAATATAAGCAGACGCTGTATCGAATCTCTATGCTCTTATTTGAACTTGAGACTAAGCGGTATCGTCGTTATCGAGAAATTCCAGCGAAGATTTCACAGGTGTTGCGCGTAAATAAATGAAGGTCCGTGCATTCGTTGAATTATTTATTTCTTCTTCGCAAAAGTTTTCTGTCGTCGATGGAATATCTTCGTAATGATTATCCTTGTTTATGTAAAATATAAAGTTGTTTTATTTTTAGATTCAATGTATCTATTATTATTACGTATGTAATAACATAAATATGTAGGTATAATGCAGCGATTATATAATATAATTTAAAGTACAAATAATTAAATCATAATGTTTAAGTCATATGATATCTTGTTAACATTTTACTTGTTTATAATTCTGTACATCTCATATGTCCTTAGATTTTGATTTTAATAAAATTTTTTTGAATGATTTTTTTAATATCGATTTATTAATTTGAAGATACATTAAAATTTACATTATTTTTTTATGTATATCTAACAATATTTTGAGTGGCAGTAATAATTATACAATAAGAATTATGATAACGTCTCTCATAAGAAGAATTAATAACTCTAAGCTTCTTCATCTTATTAAGTAAATCACCTTATTAAGTAAAATTATATAATTTTCACTTTCAAATTATAAAGAATTATATGACACAACATTTCTATTATATCAGTACTTTTATTACGTGTTTCAGATGGTTCTGCCATTTCGACGATGATAATTACGTGAACGTGCCGCGCCTATTGAAGCTTCTAGACAATTATAATCCACGGGAGGATTGGTATCTCGGCAAACCCTCGATTCCTGCGCCCTTGGAGATCATCAGGCAGGGCCCGGAGCCGCAGAAACGACCGGTGAATATAGATTAATTGCATTTTCTTTCCTTTCATGTACTCTTAATTTGTTTTTTAATGTTTGTATGGGAATTCTCTGTTTAAAAATGTTTGTCCAAAGATGGCAAGCAATAACATGCACAATATAAATTAGATTACCCGCAGAGATGATTGATCCATCCAGTCGTTTGAACTTAGCGAATCCACGAACCTAGTTCAACATATTATAGAAATATTTAATACGTACCTACATATTGTACTCTTACATCAACATGCGGGAGATGTTGTGAATAGTTAAAGTAAAGTAAAAGCAGAACATAATTTAATTTAAATTTAAAAAGAAGACGAATAAGATTAGGAACACATTTATTATATTTAAAGATTCGAACTGAATATAAATTAAAGTTTATTTTTACATTTTATTGTAAAAAATTAAATTGCTTTTTTGTTAATAACAAACTGATATTTTTAATAATACAGAGGAATTCATGCGTACTACAGTATAAAATACATTTTTAATCTTTTGAAATCTATTTTCAAGTATTTTGTCTTGATTGATGATTTTGTATAGAATTTAGCTTTTCTTCTATATAGGTTTATTCAAATATAAATAGGATTATATGTATTGTACTTACTACTTCAATATGGATTTTATTATTTAAAATTGGTAGTTGGAACATGTCTAAAATTATTCTTTCATTCAACTACATAACATCTGTATTTCGAGGGATTACCGGCTTTGACCCAAATTTATTTATAATATAGATCATCTACTGTAATTACACCCTTCTCCGTCGAAAGTCAACTTATCGCTCTTCGCGGTTGGTCAACTAAAGGAAATTGTCTCTCAGGATTTATTTAGAACCGTGATAGCTCAATAGTAGCAATTTAAAACAATAACGAGCGCTACGCGCAGACACGTCTTGTCTGTCTCCAGCACGCGGAGATGCCGCAAACATGAAATTCGTTCGACCGCCTTTGAAGCTTCCGGTTGGGTTTCTCCATGAAATTAAACTTACCGGAGAAAAAAAAGAAGTCGGGAGACTTTTAAAGGGAAGAGGGAAAGCTGAAGGATGGGTAAAAGAGGACAAGATTATTCGCGATATTTTTTTCTTCTCTCTTTCTCCTCTCCTCTCTTCGCGATCTTTACACGAGAAGCCGTGCCGTCACTAACGGGTGGTCTTATCGAATTTATGCATCCGCGCGAGGCGGCAGCTTCCGGCAAAGTCGAACGTACATACGTCTTGGCAAATGCGGGTTAGAGTGAAATAGGGATCGTTTCGCTTTTGTGAGCAATTCGTTCGACGGCAAAGAATATCGCGCGAAGAAAATGTGCGATAGCGTCTATTCTTTTTAATGCTCCCCAGCGGCGTTTTCTTCGTGCTACGAGTTTCATACTATTATCTCGCACCTCGCGTTATA